CTTCTCGCTCCTCTGCTTAACAGCACCCCCTGCAGTCACACGGCCCCAAGAAAATCTTGTAAAGCAGCATCAGTGATTTGTTTTTAACCCCTTTCCTCTGCATAAACCAGGGCCGTTTGCCCCCAGGATAATATTAGAGCAGCGTTGACCAGATGTGCACAGTCCATCGCCTGCAAAAATCGCTCGGCTGCTGCTGGGTTGCAGAGCCAGGCGCTCCCAGCTGTGTCCAGGGCTGCTCTATGGAGCTGGCAAACTATTTCCCAGCTTTTTTTCCCTTGTTTGTAGCGCCAGCTTTGAAGAGAACTGAGAAGAGCGTGCCAGCTAATTGGGAATGCAAGGATGAAAGCCTTGCTGTGCGGGAAATAGGGGGAAATGGCACTTAACTGCTTTTGCGGGATAAGATTGCTTCGTGTGTTGCAATTTAGGATTTGAGCAATTTTTAAAGGTCTGAAATTTTTGGTTTCTGGGGTAAAAAGACTTTTTCCTTTTAAGCTGAAGGACTAGCTAGGAGCACCGATTTCTCATCCTTTGTGCATTAGGTGTCTCTGTGAGTGTTTCTGATTGAGATGGATGGAGCAAAGGGTGGTCGCAGGCGCTGGGGGGGGACGAGGTGCCCGTAGTCATAGCAACTGCTCGGAAGTGCAAATCAGAGGCTTTTTTGGACAAGTAGTTTGTCATGTTTCCTATTGGTGGCAGTGTCTGCCCAAATATTATCAAATCGTCAGCTGCAAATCCCACCGGAGAGGCTGGCTGCCCCAAATGCAGCTCTTGGACCTTGTTGGAAACATTATGGCAAAAGCATTTCTATCGCTTCTGCAGATTAGGTAGGGAAGGTGCTAATCTAAGCAACTGGCCAGCATCTTAATAGCAGTAAATACAGCCAGATGAACCAGAGAGCAGCTCCTGAGGTTGGTGTGAGCTGGCACGCCTGTGTTTAGGGATGCTCCTGCCTCCCTCTGGGCAGTGGGGAGATGCTCACGGGGATGCTGAYGAGGTCTCCAAGCAAAGATACAAGATGTGCATATTGCAAAGCGTCAATGGCAACCTTTCCAAGTCACTTGTGAGAGTAATTGGGGATGGATGTCTCTCCATGGATGGGAACATGACCGCGGCAACTGGATGAGCAATTGGCTTTGCTGGACATTCCCTTGATTTTTATTTCTGCCTTTCAAAAACCCCTTCCCAGGTTCCCAAGCAACACAGCTGGTTTTGCACAGTCTCCTACAATGCCTTGCAGTGAGTTCTGCTCTGCACATCCCGAGGGAACATGGGCTCCGACCCGGTGTGACTGCTSTCACGTCTCCCGATTTTTCAGTCTCCCATGGCAATTTTTCCATATCTGAGCCCTTCTCAGCTGCCATGTTTATAAYTGTTTCCCCCTCCCTTCAGTAACAGTGATGCTGTGAGTCGTTCCAGCAAGGGTAAGCTCTGATCCTTCCTATAGGAGTCGGAGTGAATTAGCAGAGCTCAGGYGGGACGTTGTGTGCAGGAAACTGGGGGGACTGAACAAGAACAAAGGCCGTTTCTCCCATAACATAAATGAGAAACGGGCTCGCTGTGCTTGCTCAAACCGCTGCCCACAAAGCAATGGTGTCTGCTCCTCTCACRTAAATTCCTGCAGCTTTCAGGCGCTCTTCAACTTCAGAAATCACCGTGTGTGTCCTGTCTGCTCTTCTCCTCCTGGGTGCTATTGATTCCAAAGCGGTTTCCATGCAAATGGGAGCATCCACGTTTTAAAATGAGCCTGCTTCTCCTTCCCCGATGATGAACTTCCCCGGCGATCCAGCTGGGCTTGGCACAGATCAGGATCCCGTCCCTCCATGAGGATAATGCAAGCAGAAGGGTGGAAAGCGCTTGCGGGRGCAAACGTGGAAGCAGCTATATTTAGCTGAAGATAACCATGCAGGCGCACAAAGCAATGTTTAAACTGAATTTTAGGGCTAAATACTTTAATTGCTTGTAATTACTGAGATTTTTTCAAGGCAATTTACAGCAGCCATGCTCCAAATTGCCATTTGGTTTTCTGGAGAGTTAGCTGTCCAGCTTTGATAAACTGAGAAGAAGGGTTTATTCTCATTTTCAATTGCTAGTGGGATCTGYCTAAGCTCTAAACACCTTAGGAATTATGTTTTCTTGCCTTGGCTACGAAGGCTGCTGAGGTGACCAGCTCAGAGGTGGACATCTGCATGAGGGAAAGGWAAAGCTTGAATGGATGAACGCTTTCCCAGATATTGAGAAGATCCCTTTCCATTGCCATCTCTTTCTCCAGGACCTTCTCATCTCTCAGCCCTGCAGACCTGTGACCACCTCCTGCCTTCACCACCACCTCTGATGGCCTTTACTCCTGCTGTCCTCCACCATATGGAGCAGCTACCACCTTCTGTCACAGCCACGTGACAGGGACCTGCTGGTGTGATCTGACGCAGCCCATGTCTATGCTGTCACATCAAAGCCCCTTGAGAAGTTCTCAAAAGTTGTTTTGAATTCCAAAGACATTGTACAAGGGCTCTTGTGCATCAGGAGATGGCTGTGAGGGGGACACTGCTGTGTTTGATGTCTTCTGGCTGGCTGGAACATGCCAGGGCACTAAGATGGTAWAAAATGCTGCTCTTCCTTAGCTATGCAGTGTGAGCTCGAGTGTGAGTTGCTCCCAGAGCTTCCTCCTGCCTGTAGCCTCTGGAATTCCTGTCTCCAGCCCATGCAGTAATACTCTGCTCTGCTCGTGCTTGCATCCCCGCTCGTGCTTGCATCCTCTCATCTCTGTGAGCACGTGGGGATCTAAATGGGCAGGTTGTGCCAGTCAGTGTTTGCTACAGAGACCTGACAAAGTATTTTTCCCACAACTGTCACATTGCTGTTGTGGGCAGCAGAGCCGGCACTGTGAAACCTGCGTTCAGGTTGAACACCCGCCCATCCCTTAAAGAATCATAGAATCATTAGGGTTGGAAAAGACCATCAAGATCATCGAGCCCAACCTTGATCTCCTCTAAAGCAGCTTTCAGACTTCCCTGTAACAGTGAAAAGGTGTCCTTCAATAGGAAGGACTGCAGCAGCTGAGCTGAGCTCTGTGCTGTTGGTGTTGCCGTCAAGGCTTGGAAACCTGCTAACGCCTCTGGGCACTGTGCTCCGCTTCGGCTCATTAGCAGTGTAGCCACAGGGCTCTGCGGTGCCCAAGCAGCTCCCTCTGCCAGCCACGCTTCCTGCTCTTTCAAGGACTTATCAATAGCTCCTGTGTGGCCAAGGCATGCGGGCCATGGGAGAAGAGCGCGAGAGTCACGGCTGCCTGTCTTGTCTCGACATGACCATGAAAAGTGCCTTTCATCCATACTGTAACCACCTGTTATAGCATTGCTCCACTCTCCGATCCAAGCATGTCCCTACCRGGCCGCTTCGGCCCGGCCAAAACCTTCTCGGCCTCTGCCAAGAGGGGTCGGCCTGCCGTGCTTGTGAGCTGCGGCTTGCTGGGCTCAACGAGACGCTGCTTGGTCTCCTGGCTATCACTGCACACGAGGACCTTGGCGTGTTGCAGAGCTGTTGGTGCCTCTCAAGACGTTGGATGGTGCTTGGGAGCTTCTCATAGGACGTGTCTCTGACTGCTGGGTAGATGCTCAGCTGTTACTTTGAACTGACGTCACCTGGTGTCTTGAGGCTGAGGTGTCTCCATAGGTCTGTTACAGCATTGTGCAATTTGGTTTGTTTTCTTTGTAGGAGGAGAGGAGAAGTGAAAATGCTTTGGGGAAACCGAGGACACGATAAACTTCTGAGCCCCGCTGGCTCTGGGGACCTTATCTTGTCCTCGGGAGACATCAGCTGCCTGAGGCACTTTGCAGAGCTGCTTCCCGCACAGCAGAGCAAGCAGATGGGCGATGCAATAACAGGAGGATTGCCCCGGAGGGCTCCACCTCGCTGTTCCTTCWGGTGAAGTTCCCCAGCAGGATGTGCCCAGCACAAGGAGCAACACGGTGCAGCAGGTACTAACGTGGGTCCTCCACGCTCACACCTACCAGATCTCTGGGCATAGCCCCTAATCCTTCTTCCCTGCKCAGGGCATGGCACTTTCCAGGGGAAAACGCTCCTATCTCCAGCCCGCAGACACTCGCCAGGCAGCTCCTGGAGCAGATAACTATCCCTGCAATGTGGCCCTCACGGGTCTCCTTGCTGCCGGCCCTTATCTGCCAGACGTGGCCCAGGAGGCCATCCCCTTATCGCGTTACCCGCGGCTGGYGGGTGTTGGCGCACATCCGGGCTCCGCTTCCTGGCTCCGGCCCACGGGACCTGCCCTCACAAACAGGTCCAAGAGAGATGGGCAGACGCCCTCCCTGCAGCAGCAAAGCAGCAAGGCTTCCCGTTGTTTTATTTTGCCCAACAGTCTAAACCATTACCAAGGAAAAAAAAAAAAAGTTAATATTTAAAGAAGACTTATGCCTGGACACAGCACTATTTCCAGAGAAACGTGCTGTAGTCCACAAATCTTTCACCATTGGACAATAAATGAATAATCCCTTTTCATATCTAACTTACCGCATCCTGTCCTGATGCTAAGGGACTTTCTCAGGTGCTAGGAAGTCTTGCAGAACTCTTAGGTATGCAGAAAATCGCTTGTGAGACCTGCTCCTAGCAGTGACTAAGCTCATCCAAGTAGTTCCCAAGAGAAAAACAGGCACTGGAAGTAAAGAGCAACCAAAAGAAGCTCTCTAGAATAAAACAGTCAATTTATAGCTAAATGTTTGCTTTAACGGGGTCCCTCCTGCCTATCGGCAGCCTGCACAAAGCTGTGTGGTCCTGTGAAAAGCTGGTTTTTTGCGTGGTTGAGGAGGAGGCAGGTGCTACAAGGAGCTGTGTCTAGGGATGCTGCCGTGCCCCTGTGCCATCTCTTGGCAGGATGAAGATGATTGCTCCTCAACTGAGGCTGCCTAGCATCCTGTCGTGGTCAGAGCTCCTGCTCGTCCCTTCCCAGGAAGGCTGCTGTGCCTGTGTCCCTGCTCCATAAGGCACCGCTGCTGGGTATAGGGGACAGGAGAGCCCATGCAGCAGGAGCTGGTGGGGTACGAGCAGATCTGAGCTCTCCAGTTGAAGGTAGGAGCTTCCTTCTCGCCTCGCAGCACGGAGCCTGTTGGCAAATCTCTCCTGTGTCAGCAGATATTCTGCTCCCAGGGTGGAAATGTGCAACCCCGGCTGAAAAGCAYTGCTGTGATTAATGCTTAATGATTAATGCTGCTGTCTGAATAATTACCTCATTCTGCCAGCGTTTTGTCTGGCCTTGCAAGGAAACAGGCACRGAAAGTGGGGACCTGGGACCCCGTTTGCTCCTGGTTCTTCTAACATGCTGCTCCGGTAGCATCGCATCCACAGGCTCGCAGTTCTGCTGAAGGGARGAGAACAAATACATTTCAGACAGCAAATAAGCGGCACGTTTGCACAGCGCTTGTGCACACACACGGGCTGCAATGTCTGTCCAAGAGCCCGGCCCCTGAAATCTGAACTGAGCCCTTACAAATGCAGCCTTTGAGGGGTATGTGGAGAGGACATGCATCGGATATACCCCGAAAGAGCTACAGTTTCAGTGTAGATTATCCAAGCTGATAACCGTGCACCTACTATGGAATTTCTATATGCACTTTTGGGACAATTGCTTCTTTTCAGGCAGCTTGGTGATAAGGTTTCCTGGGTATAYGTGCATGCACATAAGGGGACATTGTTTTAGGGGCCGCTTGAATAATAATTCTGTGCCCTTTATGTTTCTTTTTGTGGARAATATTGATCTTTGAAATGCTATTTATTTAAGCTGAAAAATGAAATATTTATATTTTCAGACAGTGTTCCAAGAACTCGCAGCAATTTTTGCATATTGAAACCTGATATTTTTATCAAAGTTTTGCATTTGGAAAAACACATTTCGATAACAATCAGTCCGGTGCTCCAGGAAGGCGATGGGGCAAATTGGATGCCGATCTTTCAGAAAGCATCCCAGACTGATCCGGAGAACTATTATCTACAGATATCTGACCTCCACAGGCCAAAACTTGTTTTGAACCTTGATCAGCAGCAAGATTATGAGACAGATGCACGAAGAGACAAGGGGAGAGGCTGKTAGAGCCCAGCCGGGCCCCGGGGTCACCGGGCATGAGATTTTGGAGCACAGAGATTTCGGAGAGCTGGTCAGGGCGTTGCAGACTTGTGCAACCGAGCRGCTGGGAAGGCATGCTAGGAATTGCAGGAAAGGGTTTGGGATCAAAACAGAACATTTCTGAGCGCCAGGTACACTCCTGTTGCTGGCCGCTCTGCCTGCTTGCTTAAGAGTTAAAGAAAAAATTTCTGAGGTGAAAAGCAGCAAGATGTGTAAAAGGAGACACTAATGGAGCTGTGTTCCTGACGCAGAATCGGTGAGGACGGGGGGACCGAGGCACAGATCAGCAGGGAGGTCGGGGTGAAGGGCAGTATTGATTCGTGGCTTGCCCAGTTTGTCCGTGTGAGCGTGGTGGCCGAGCCGGACTCCCTGTCGGCGGGGAAAGTGGAGCTCTGCACCCCTTATCTCCGCATTYCCCTCTCCCAGAGTTTACAACCCACTAAATCCCGGCTTTTCCTTTCGTAAAGCAAATCCCGTTCCCTGCGGCCTCCGCAGGGAAGCGGCGGCTCCGCTTTCCCAGCAAGTGCAGAGTAAATAGGAGCCTTATCGGAGCGCGGCGGGCCAGGGATCACGGCCAGGGCCCCTGGAAACGTGTGTCCCGCTGCTCACCTGCCGCGTGCGGCGCAGGAGTCACCCCCGTTCACCGGCCCCTCCTGCAGCTCGCCAGCTTGGCGTCCCCTTGAACGCTGAAAACGGCGGAAAAGCTTCGCGCCGGAGCAGCTGCTGCTCTTTTAAAGGGTTTAACGCTCTTCGTGCACAACGCGAAGCGACGCAGCGGAGCGGCAGCTCCGCGGTCACCCTCGGCCCGGCCCGGCTCGGCCCGGCCCGGCCCCCGCCCGCCCCCGCGGGCGGCCGCGCGGCGCCTTTAAGCGCCGGTGCGCGCGGGGAGCGGGACCGGGACTCAGAACCGGGACCCGGACCGGGACCGCCCAGCCCGGGAAGCCCCGGCGCCTCCATGGGGAGCACCCTGCAGCTCCAGGACTTCGCTGCCGGCTGGGTGGGCGGTGAGTAGCGCGGCGGGCTGCAGGCGGCAGAGCCGGGAGCCGCGGGGTGTTGGGGAAGGGGCATTTCGGAGCGGGCGGTTGTAGTTTGCAGATAACGCAGTTTGCAAGTCGCAAAGGCACGCGGGGGACTTTGGGGGTGTCTTGCACCCACAGAGCGCGCGGTTCCCTTGCGTTTGAGGCTGATAACGTGGGATGTGGCACCGGGGTGGCAGGGGAGGGGAAACGGGGACGGTGGCACCGGATCACCTGCCACCGTGCGCAGGGTGTCGGGGAGCCCGTTGGGATGGGGGGTGTGAGACCTGCAAGGGTAACGTGGCCACTGACGGGGGTAACGCTCTGCTCTCCCGCAGGAGCCGCGAGCGTCGTCGTGGGCCACCCCCTGGACACGGTCAAGGTAAAGCCGGGCGCCAGGTCCCGGTCCAAACCGGGCAGCCAGTACCGGTACCACGTGCGGCTCCGCGGGCCCTGTTGGCACAGGACAGGATTGAGCCCGGCTGGCCGCGGCTCCACAGCCGGGGCTGCAAAGGGCAAAGCAGAAGGGCCGAGTGCTCCGAGCGAGGGGATGAGCGCTGAAAACCAGAGCGGAGCCCCCGCTAACGCTGGGCTCGCTGGAAAGTGTCGTGCTGAGCTTTGCCAGGAGCYGGTGTCAAAGGGCACGGGGACTGTTTGGGTTTTTTTCTGCTCCAGGTGGGTTTTTAAGCATTTTCCTTACGTTTGCAATGCTGTCAGGGCACAGTGGAGAAATCACTATCCCAGGTCTATGAGAGGAAATATTTAGTATATCTGCAAGAGAAACGTGCCCSCAAAGAAAGGGTTTGCCGGTATAAGATGGGACGTAAGCAGAGAGGGTGTGATAGGCAGATGCTGAACAGCATTTGTAGCATCCAGGGGACGAGGGTYTGTCACCTGGTGACGGCCACACGACCGAACATAAGGTGAGATGGAGGACATCATCTCATCAGCTCCTCCCTTCCCATCACCCAAATCTCTTGCTTCTTTCCCAATGTTGCAATTTCCGCAGAATCCAAGTGGCAGTTTTTCCATGCAAAACTCTGAGTATTTTTCCATCTACTCACTGTTCATCCTCCACGCTGCATCTGTTTTTCCTAGCACACCCTGTGGTGTGTCCTGGCTTTTCCTGGCTTCCATGTGAAATCCAAGATGARAGGGGAGTGCCCTTTTGGGGTGAAATCCCCGGAGAAAGGATGGGAGCTGCCGAGGGCTGCATGGGGCATCGTGGCCTTTCCCGAACCTGCATTTGGGGCCAGGAAACTGTATTTGGGACAAGCCCTGAAATTCAGGGTGCTGCAACCCCCAGGGAGGACGAATCAAAGGGATGCTCTCATCCATATGTCTATATCCATCTCATTTTTTTTTTTTAATCAGGAAAATTCTTTGTTTGTGTGTGTGTATGTAAAAATATATATATGTATTCTATATAAATATAGAAATACATACACACGAAAAGAGGATTTTCTGGTTGGAAATCCCTACCGAGGGACTTTTGATAGGTGCTTTTTTGCTAACACCACGAGCAGGGAACTGGGAACTGCTCCGCACTAACTCCAGCCACTTGGCTAAAGARCAGGGCTGCAAGAAACAGCCCGGGYGGCCACTCAGCTGCATGTGGTTACTCAGAAAACCCATTAACTCGAACTCCAAGTCCCTGGTTACTGTGTAAAAGGAAAAATAACAAGCCCGGTGGAGGCGAGAGGGAGCCCTCTGTGCTAGGGGTGCCAATGAGGTGGGTCGGGGTGAGGGCAGAGCCACACCGCGGTCACAGGGCATTCCCGACGGGTGAGAAAACAGCTCCATTCTGAATTCAAGGCGAAAAAATCCCATTATGATCGAAGGGATGTTTTCTTTTTTGCTCTGAATTTTATCCCTGTTCCTGTGCCTGATTTTTGCACATCTTCTGGCCACCTTAACCAAGACTCTGTGCTCCATACAAGCAGCAGGGCCAGGCTGGCGTTTGCCAGCTGTGGAGTCCAGATGTTGCTGGAGGCTTCGCCTCTGCTGAGCCCAGCTGCTGGCCACGCTCGAGAGGGGCGGGTATTTATATATGTCTTATTTTATGGCTCTGTTTTCCTTGTGCCTGACGGAGGATTCAGTGTCAAAGCAAAGTACGTGCTGTTTACTTAGCGTGAGCTCCCCCYGGACTGCAGGCATGTGATTTTAATTGTTTCATGGATGTGTTTCACAGACCCGCTTGCAAGCTGGACAAGGATATGGAAACACACTACACTGCGTCCTCACTGTGTACAGAAATGAGTCTGTAAGTACTTTGTTTTAGTGAAAACATGCTGGTGAAAAAGGAAAGCAAATGTGAGTAGAAATTGTAGCACGCTGCAATCTGGAGCCCAAGGCAGGACAGGGCTGGTAAAACCCCCGTCAGCTTCTCTTGCCAGCCCAAAACAAGGACATGGAGGAAGGAGAGATCTTGGCATGGAGCAATAAGCAGGGTGCTGCGTCCACGTTGGGTCAGCACCCAGTAGGTGCTGAGCATTTACTTGGGCAATGAGAGAAGCTCATGAGAGATAAGTCCATCAAGGGCTGGTAAACCCAGAAATACCACCCCAGCTCAGGCAGGCCGAGGCACAAATCTCAGGAGGCCAGAGAAATGCTTGTGCTCGTCTTCAGCTTTCCTTTAGGTGTCCCTTAGTGATGAGCAGGCTGCGATCTCCTCCAGAAATCCCTGCTGGATGAGCTCTGTGCTGGAGGCRTTTTGGTGAATGCAGGAAAGGACTTGGCCAGAAGTGACTGCTCGGATATTTTTCTGGTGCTCTGGAAAAGTCCCAGTGCTCTGCATCACCTTTACGAGCTGCTAAAAGGATGACTTGATTGCCACTTGCTCAGCACGTGCCAAGGGCTCCGAGGAGGCCAGGCTGATGCACAGGGTTTGTGTTGCTCCGTGCTGCTCTGCGGGCCACATTCCCTGGAATTTTTACCGGGACACTGCTCGAAATGTGAAAAGAGGGATGAGGGAAGGATGCAGTGCTCAATAGCCCACCTTGCACGAAAGCCAATTCCTCGCCCTTGGGCACGGGGACAAAGGCAGAACCGGAGTCGCGCAGTGCAGGGACAGCAGCACTCGCCGCAGCCCATCGGCCAAGTCAGGAATAAACAGAACTAAAATCAACAAAGCGTTTCCCCGGTGGCCCCCTCTAAGCGTGGCTCTGCTCGGCCCCCAGGTGGCCGGCTTCTTCAAGGGCATGGCCTTCCCGCTGGCCAGCATCGCCGTGTACAGCTCCGTGGTGTTCGGCGTGTTCAGCAACGCGCAGCGGCTGCTGGGCGAGCGGCGGCGCGGCGCGGCGGC